GGCTTCCGAGTTAGTGGCTTTCCCGCCAAAACTTTCAGGCGTTCGTAAGTGAATAAGCATACATGAAAGCCGAATTTGAAGTTTTTACATTGAAATTTCAGCTTCCTAGCTTTTCCTGTTCCCAATTTTTTCGCCAAAACTTCAACGTGACTGCACATGAGACCCAAGTTTACGTAAAGGCCGAATTTAAATTTGCGGGGTCGCACGTGGATGGAGGAATATTCCTAAAACTTTAACTTCTTAGTTTCTCTGGTTCCTGGATTAAAAATCCGGGACAAAACACACTAGGAAACGCATACACACATGCATACACGCATACGGAGAGGGACGTGAAAATGTGCATCTTGTGCAACTGTCATAGCACAAAACGCATAAAAATTAGCTGCTAATAGTGTGACAAAATCTGAGAAGTACCGCCTCTGGAGAGCAGAAATCAAGGCGGTATTCTGCATGGTGCTTTAAGGAACGTTCGTTCGGAAGTGTACAACAGAGTGGAAAAGTCAACATTCTGAGCCGATCCGCAAATGCGTTTTCTAAGCGAAAAGTGAGCTTCGTGCAATGTTTCAGCCTCCTGCGAGTTGGGATGGGCACTCTAGAAAAATCCCAGATGCGAACCTCTTTATGAACAGCATGCAAAAACAATCGTTCTATCATGCGTTATTCAGTACAAAAGCAAAAAATATTTGGTCAGAAATATCCAGAAAAAGACATCCAAAAGCACACATGCGGCTTCAGCCCGAAATTACATTATGGTAGTAGTAGTAGCATACCAAGGCTTCATCGTCATCTTCGGTCCATTCGTCAAAATCATCATCATTGTGCATCGTGGTGGGTGGTGCAGATGGATACGGTGGTGCCACATCATGCAGTCGCTGAAAGTACGCGCTGCATTCAAAAATTTACACAAAAATTCACCAGTGTTTGAATGCAGTGTGTGCATGGGCTCCCGATGCGCAGAGAGCTTCTGACGATGATCGAGACATTTTCTGGACCATGAATTTTCAGCCTTTTGGCACTAGCCATTATCGATGCACAACATCAACCAACAGAAAGCAAACCTGTTCATTCGACGGATGGGGAAGCTGAGGGTAATGCACGGGGGCTGTTGGAAGAACCGCCCAGTCTTCTTCAACCGGTGGAACAGCGTAGGTCGGAGGACTGTAAGACTGCGCCTTAAAACAGCGAAATGAAAGAAGCGCAACGAAACAACAAGCACATGTGATAAGAAAACATGGATCAACCGAAAGCGTAACGTGCACTGAGTTATAGTACACATCCTGAGCAAAATCTGTGAAAAATGCCTTTTTAAAAGACAGATATGCTACCGGAGCGACATAACTGCCTCCCAGCGCAGTTTCGCATCATCCTGCGCCAAAGCTCCTAACATACCTCGCTCAAGGCTGACAACTGTTTGAAGCGGGACAGAAATATCGGTAACAGCTGAAATGCCAAAAAAGACACGAAACGAAAGGGAGTATTTTCCCCTGCGAAAAACGAAATGAGAGCCGGAATCACCGACGTACAGAATCCCATGTAACGTAACTTCCGTCATCGCAAACATGCCAAAGTTGCCAAGCGCGCCATGGCTTAAAGACGTGATATAGCGGAACGAAACACATTTAACGTATCGAAGGGAAGCATGTTCTAGAGAGTCATATTAACAAAAATGGCTCAATTTTATCAAAAAATTGAAAAGCATGGCGCGGCAGAAATGGCCAGCAATCTCAGAAATTTCTGCAAATTTACAGCAAAAAAACCCTCCGAATGAAAACAGCACAAAATATATAGGCAACAGATACAGAGCGCATGTATGAGTCTTAAGGTAAGAGAGCCTAGCACAGCAGCAAAGCTCACCGACAGATGTCTTTCTGCAAAACTGAAGGACAACGACGTCAACCTCAATGACGGGGAAAATGGTGGCGTACACTAGGGTAGCTGGTGCAACTATGCGTTTCGTGCAGTTCTATCTAGCGGAAGCTTGCAGTTAAAAACTTTCAATGCTTTACTGTTCAGCATGTAAAAAATCGCTGGAATGCTTCGGTCAACCAAAATTTCCATGTTCCTGCATACGACAACTAAGTGTGCGTGAAAATTAGATTTGAATGTACAACACTCTCCTAACTTTTCAGCTTCATAACTTTTCCTGTTCCCAATTTGGCAATTTTTCCGCCGAAAATTCAAATGGCCGTAAATGAGATACTTGAAAGCTGAATTTGAAATACAGATTTTACACCTTAAATTTCAGCCTCCTAGCTTTTTTGATTTCCGAATTAGCAATTTTCCTCCAAAACTTGTATGTGTTCACACGTAAGACCTAGAAGTATGCAAAAGCTAAATTTAAATTTGACGGGTCTCACGCGGGCACAGAACTTTTTTTTCAGCCTTCTTTTAGTTTTCTTCAGCTTTCTTCCAACTTTTTTCAGCTTTTTTTTTCTTTCAGTTTCCTAATTCACCTGGTTCCTGAGTTGAAAACCCCGCACAAAATGCACTTGTACAATATACATATATGCATATATGTTCAGTGCACGCACACATAAACACAAACAGAATCTCAACAACTTGCGTTTTGTGCAACTGCTGCAGCCCAAAATGCACAAGCCCCAAAAATATTCCTCAGTGAAGCTTATGGTTTTTTAAGTGTTACATACAGACCTCAAAAAAGGGCGAGTCTGATGGCTAGGATCAAAAATTATACAGACACATATACATGCCGCTTCTACATTTTTTAATGCATTTTTTGCAGCCATGCAATGAGAAAACGCACATTGGCGAGGGGTTTTCTATGTGTGCGTCTGCACTGGTTTTTCATCTCAAGTCCTATGAAAGGTACAGGGCTGAAACTTTAAGGACTTAATCTACATGCACGCATGGGCCCCAATTCCCAACATGGGCGCTCTTAGCCGTGTGGCATCCACTTATAGGCCCGTGGAAGTTCTTTGCTGGTAAGTCGCTAACTCGGGAACCTGAGAAGCTAGAAAGCTGGAATCTTAAGGGAATGTCCTCCGTCCAAGTAGGTATTAATGAGCTCAAACCCAGCTCTCGGCTATGAGTAGTACCCACGCGCGTGCCCTCCAAAACTTTTTTCGTGTAAGTCGCTAACTCGAAAATTTGAAAAGCTTGAATGTAATTTTAAGAGGATATTCCCATTCACCTAAGTCACACTGAGCTCAAACCCAGGCTCCGGGTGTGCGTGTTACCCACGTATGAGCCCGCCAAAATTTTTTTCGGGTAAGTCGCTAACTCGAAAAAATAAAAAGTTAGAAGGCTGTAATTTCAAGGGAATGTTTCGTGTCCACGTAAGTCTCAGTGAGTTCAGGTCCAGATACCGGGTATGTGTGGTACCCATGCACGGGCCCGCTAAATTTTTTTTTTTGGATACTTTGATAACTCGGGAACCTGGGAAGCTAGAATACTGGAATTTTGAAGGGATGTTTCCTGACAGTCCTGGCGGCCAGACTGAAATTACTTTTAGCTAGAAACATGTGCCGGAAAAAACAGTGCCGTTAGCGACAAAAATCTTTGGGGAGCTATGCAAAAAACGCATCTTCGCAAAGGCAGCCCGTGTATTGGCCAATTATTTTTCTTTTTCAATACAATATTTTAACAGAAAATGAGCCCTCAGAGCAGTGGAAATGTTTTAGAAACTTAGACGCAGCCGTGTTTTACTCTGATACCATGACTGGCTATTGTTTCATTACAGTCAACGCATCCCTTTTAACAACTATGCTGACAGCCTTTCATGCTTGCCGCGACTGTTGCTAGCTCACCAACTGATGGCAAATCTACTGTCACTGGTCTTACTATCCTTTCTCCTGCTTCCCTGCTTTGCTTTTCCACAGAAATTCTCAAAAATTTCAAATTCTTCGGGCCTATATCCTCGAGACGAAGAGGAGGCGGGGAGAAGGGAATGCAGAACTGCTTTCAACGATATCTGGTTTCAAAAAATCTTACAGTCACTACTGTTTTCTGCGCCACAGCATGCACTTTTCCAACACCAGCAAAAGAAGTAGCAGAATATGGCCTGGTATTTCAAAAGAAAATAAATGGCCAACGCACGGGCTGCCCGTGCGAAGATGCGTTTTTTGCAGAGTTCCCCGCAGGTTTCTGTCGCTACCGGCATCGGT